TCTTTTGATTGTATCCAAATCTCGCAGCAAAAGCGACTCGAAGCTTGAGACCTTGGCTTGCCACAGCTTTGCATCAGCTTCTTCAATCTGCCTCTCAATGTGCTTCTCAGTCTCCTCCGCGTCCATGGATCGCAAATCTTCGATCATGGCAGCATGGAACACCGTTGGGAATGATGCCAGAGCCTCGCAGACTGCTCGGTCCAGACTTTCAGACTCCTCAATGGCTTGCTTCACCATTTTGGCATCTGCCGCTTCCAGGTCCTCCATACAGCCTTGCATGCTTCTTGACCAGTGACAAATCACTTTGCGGTAGACGGCCAACTTGTCCGGGTTGGGGCGCAACCTGAGTGAATCTTCTTCAGCAACATTCTAACCATCATATATTCTACCATCATGCTTCATAGGGTTTCCCAGCAGCCCTGATGAGAGTGATTTTGTATCTGTTTATGTTTGAAATGCATAATAATTTCAAAACAATTCTGGGCGCCCCAGGAAATGGCAGGGAATGTCAATGAATCATTGTTTTTTGCTGTTGATGTTGCCGGAATGGAATCACCCAATGTATTGTTCAGCTGTGAAGCTGCGCTCTGCTGGCACCTTCTGTCAGGAGAGATGAGTCTGCCTCAAAGACTGAAATCAGCTTGTTGACCAGCATTTCATGTTCAACTTCAGTCAAGGCTGACTTATAGTCCGTGTTGACCACCCTGCAGGATCCTGGAGCCATCTTGCGGATGATCTCAGCAGCCTCAAGACTTCAGGACTAAAACATCCATGTTCACTACCAAAAAAAAGAGGTCATTTGATTTGGATTCTTTCTGACTGCAAACAGAAAGCAGTTTAGCAAATCAACATACCACATCAAGGAAAAACGTGATTTTGTTTCAATGTAATTTGGCAACCAAAGGTCTTAGTGGAGCTTTAAACCAAGAACAAACTAATGTCTAGAATGTTATGATCTAAAAAGACAGAATTGAATTATCATTAATTGGACAAACAAATGCAGCTTGGAAGCAGATGCTGATGCAAGCTCCTGCTGCTCAGTTGGGAATGATCCAACCGGAGTCTTGCTGCGAGGCCAGAGATGCGGCCAGGACAAGATGGCATCGCTGATGGCAGATTGACGCTGGTTCTGGCACCATGACAAATGCATCACCATCCTTTTCCAGCTTTCACTGGTCGCATGCTTGAGGACATTGAGGATGGCATTCCGTCTCTCTGTGCCCACCATCACCATCTCCTGGTCTTCCACTGCAAGCTCGTCCTTCTTGCTGTCCTTGCTTTTTGGTGCTGATCTGCTCTTCCTTCTGCGCTTTGCCTTAGGTTGGATGCATGCACGTGAGGTAATTAATAAACAAGCTCCCATACGTGAACTCTTTCTGTCAACAACTATGCTTTCAATGATTGCAAATTTGGCACATGGATGTAATCTTGCAACTGGTTTCAGCATTATTTGATGAGGGCATCCCAGCTACTGTGAATTTATTACGGTTGGCCCTTGGGAACAAGGTGCTGCTGGAACATCTGTTGATACCCCAGACTGCTCCAGCTCAGTGTTGTATCCTGCCATGAGTCGCTCAAAGGCAGCCGCCAAATCTGCACCCCTCTGGGCTCTCTGAGCAACATCAGATGTGTCCAGCAGCTCTCCCACATCGCATCCAGCCTCCGGCTTTACATCTCTTTTTTTTCAGTGAATCAGTGAAAAAAAAGAGAATATCTGAATTAATTTGGATGCTTGCATAGGAAAAATGATGATACTGAAATTACACAAAAAACACTCACAAAAATGAGCTGATTAACATGCAGACAATTCACAGGATACAGATACAAAGCGGTCAAAGACACCCATTGCAACGTTGATAATGGCTGAACCATTGTGCCGCGGATGTTTTGCTTGACTGCTGCTGCAATCAGAGACTGCTCATGCGACTGGCTGGAAAAGCCTTGGATTCTGACACATGAATACTGTCAACACCAATGACACACCATGAAAAACATCAACTGAACCATCAACCAGTGAGAAAAGACTTCAAACATCGCACATATGTCTGCCTTTGAGGACAATTTACAGCCTAGACACATGTTGGGATATCAAGCAAAGACTCGATGATTTGCGAGAGCTTTGGGTCGGCTAAAACTTCGGCAGATGCTGTGCTCAGGAGATCCATGATCATATGCCACCTTGGGCTGCAAGACAATGTTAACAAACACATGGGATAAATTCACTCTTAATGCCCTGTCTGCTTGGCAAATTAGAGTTGCCAAGTGATATAGGTATGGGGTATGCCCCTTGAAGTTGCTACTGGTGCCTGGAACCACCCCCAGCCAGTGCCTAACATGCCTAAGGTTCTTGGCAACTCGAAGTTGCCAAGTGAATGATTTGTATTGGCCCAACCATGAACATGTGCTTGGCTACTGCTAGTACTGACTCAAGTGCTTAAGAGATCCATGATCAAATGCGAACTAAGGCTGCGTGACAATGCTAACCGAGCAAATGAGGAACATTCACTCTTACTGCTCTGTCTGCTTGGCAACTCAGAGTTGCCAAGCGATATAGGTATGTCCCTTGAAGTTGCTACTGTTACCTGGAACCACCCCCAGCCAGAGCCCAACATGCTCCATGTGCTTTGCAACTCTCAGTTGCCAAGCGAATGGTGAGTATTGGCCTAGACATGCCCATTTGCTTGGCTACTGTTGTTACTGGCTCATGACTACTGGAACCAAGGCTTCCGAACTGGACGTGCAGAACAATTGAGAGGGGGCTTGCCGAACACCAAGGGTTGGATTTCAGGCTCATTTGTCTGGCAACTCTCAGTTGCCGGACGGTTCAGGGGGTAGGGTTGCCGAGCACATGTTTGTCTGGCAACTCTCAGTTGCCGAACAGTTGAGGCAGGGATGCGCCGAACAGTGGAGGGGGGGCTTGCCGAACACCAAGGGTTGGATTTCTGGCTCATTTGTCTGGCAACTCTCAGTTGCCGGACGGTTCAGGGGGTAGGGTTGCCGAGCACATGTTTGTCTGGCAACTCTCAGTTGCCGAACAGTTGAGGCAGGGATGCGCCGAACAGTGGAGGGGGGGCTTGCCGAACACCAAGGGTTGGATTTCTGGCTCATGCAACTCTCAGTTGCCGAACGGTTCAGGGGGTAGGGTTGCCGAGCACATGTTTGTCTGGCAACTCTCAGTTGCCGAACAGTTGAGGCAGGGATTGGCCGAACAGTGGAGGGGGGGCTTGCCGAACACCAAGGGTTGGATTTCAGGCTCATTTGTCTGGCAACTCTCAGTTGCCGAACGGTTCAGGGGAGGTTGCCGAACACATAAGCTTTGCTTGGCAACTTGGTTGCCGAACGATTGAGGCAGGGCCCAAAGAGGAGATGAGAGGGTTCCCAACAGAAAAAAATCCTGACAAGTCGCTGAACGTTAGAGGGAAGGTTGCCCAACACAGAAGCTTTGCTTTGGCAGCTCAGTTGCCAAATGGTTACTGGAAGGGTTGCTGAAAAAATCATTCATCAACCAATATACAATGAAACGTATTTTTGTTGAACACTCTGAGCATTACAAGCTGAACAACTGATCAATCATCATCAATGCTTATCAGCATGACCATGCATCAGTGGCTAAGAATGCTATTGCATTATCTTGGATTCACAGCTTGAGTCCCAGGGTCGCCAACCGACAGGCTAATCCTCGCTTCTGTCCATCTGCGAACCGCAAACCGGCTTCACATCGTTCCAAATCACGGGCTAGCATGAACTCAGTCTTGTCGTAGCCTGCTGCAGGGGAAACTGAACTGACTGTACAAGAACCTATAGTCTCTACGTCTGTGTGTCAGGGCTTATGCATATATACGATCATGAAGCAATGAGTTTGGCAACATGAACAGAGAAAAAACACACACATATATATATATATGTTGAAAGGACTTGTCAGGGTTTTTTTTGAAATTATGTTGAAAGCAGCATGCACTGCATACTGTGATTTATTTTGCTTTGAAATCAAGCATTGATAAGCTGCCAGGATGGGTCTTTGGATCTAGGGTAATAGAAAACATGCCAATGACCTGCAATAATGATACGTGCCAACACTTTGCATACTGAGTCTGGTCAAGCAACCTTTGTGAAAGATGCTCTTGCACAGTGAAGCCAACTTCCATGCTTCTGCCTCTCCACTCCACAGGCTACTCGGTGCAAAGGACCAATGAAAAATGCAGCTCGACCCATGCTGACCATTGCTGAAGGTCACTGGCTTCAACAGGTCTGCCGCATTGCCATTGAAGCCATTGATGTGCACCTTCGCGAGCATGTGGTCAATGCAGTCCGCTGCTGAAGGGAAGGACAGATTGCAGATGTGATGCTGCATGGTTTTGCCTTCTTTCTGCATGTCCTTGCAGAAACAGTGGGAGCGGTTGCAGCTTTTCACAACCCAAGGTTTTAGCAGAAACAATCAATGTAATCGACCCAAAAATATTGAGACACAGACTAGCCCACCACAGTTTGTACAATAATAAAGACTGACAAGAGTTCCTTGACCAGTTGATCCACTCTCCCCTGCAGTTCTTTCTGCCATGGTTGGAGTGACCCGGCAGCCAACGCCTGCGCCATGATTGACGCCTGGTTACACTGATTTTTCTGAGCCAGCTGCATTACATCAGTTATGTAGCATACAAATGCGATCACATGATGCCTTGCAATTGATTCACTGTGTGTGTGTGCTGGAAAGCAACTGTTTATTCAGGCTTCAGTCAAACGTAAGAAAACATGTTGACTAGCAATATACAACTGTGTTTAACTTCAAGATCTAACATTGTTTGCTGAATAAAAACACTGATTTGATTGAAAGAAAACTTCAAGGAACTGAGTTGCTGACCTGCATGCTTGCAATCATGAACTGAATGACCTTGGCAGGCAAAGCATAACAACTTTTTATATATAGAATCATATTTCAGAAACCACATGTTGACTAGTAATATATAATTGTGTTAAACTTTGCACAGCATCAAATGTAATGTTTTTGTTGCTGAACAATACAGTTTTGATCGAAACAAAAGACACCTTCAATGATTTAAGTTACTGAGCTGACTGCTGGCAGTGATGAAATGAATCACCTTGGCTGGCAAAGCATAACAACTGTTTATACGAATCATATTTCAGAAACCACATGTTGACTAGTAATATATAATTGTGTTGAACTTCGCACAGCATCGAATGTAATGTTTTTGTTGCTGAACAATACAGTTTTGATCGAAACAAAAGACACCTTCAATGATTTAAGTTACTGAGCTGACTGCTGGCAGTGATGAAATGAATCACCTTGGCTGGCAAGGCATGCAAACACATGGCATCGGCGAGAAAAAACACTACAGACCATCTTCCAGGATGGATCACGCAACTGCTGAGAACAAACATAATTATTTGAGGGTGCAGTTGAATTGTGGCAGGCTTGCATGCTATGTAGGCCAGGCGCCCGTGGTTTTTTGTCTCGCGATACTCCTTCTGCCCTCATTTGTCACACAGTCCACTGGCTAATACAGCCAGGAGAAGTGAAGCAATCACATTGCTGGAAAAGGCATTGCCGCAAAGGTCTTGAGTTTGACCTGATGTAAGTGACCCAGGTAACCCAGTCAGCTGTTGTTCAGCATGTTGGAGACCAGTGAGGCTTAGCCACCACTTTGCATTGTTGCATACATGGGCACCAGATGAAGTAAGATATATATATCTTTTCTTCGGAAGCAAACATGGATGGATTGGTTTCAAGGTGATCCGATCGATGTTGTCTCCGGAGTTCAGGACTAGCACTTTGTCCACCGGGATGTCCTGGGGACAACAGAAATAGAAATAAAGATTCCAGTAAGGAAAGCTAAAATAGGCTGAAGCAAACTACAAACATATTGTTTTTAACGTTTAGGCAGCTGTGTCCTCTTGAAGCATTTTGCGTAGCTTTGCAAAAGCGAGTGTTGATGCCTCCACTTCTCTTTCAGGCAAGCGCAATGCAGCAAAGGCTTGACGAGCCCATTTCACTTGCGGCAAAGATAGTGTTGTCCGCAATTCTTCCTTCTTCAAGAACTCCTGGTGCTGTTCTGGCCACTTGCATAACTCCTTGTCTTTCTGCTTCCCTGCCTTCCTCTTGCGATCACTGCTCGATATGTCTGCAGATTCCACTGCTCCAAACTTGGACCACAGGTCATGAAGTGGTTCTCGGCAAGAAAGGTGGAATTTCCTGGTGGTTTCCCAAGCGGCTGCCACCAGTGAAGCTGTCTTGCCTCGCCCTACCTCTCCAAGGCCTTGAAGCTTAGCAGAGATTCCGTAGGCTCTTCCCCGGCTCTGGGGAATCCCGAATGACAATGCATCCATTTCCTGGAAGGATGACATGTAGCCCCTCTCCTGCATCTGCGAAGCCACGATCTCTGTGCTTTTTTCTGACACTGAGCTTCTTGTAGATGCCAGGGCTTGCACGCACTCCCAGAACCACAATCGGGCGTTGATCAAATGAACAACGGTCCAACCACCTCAAAAACTGACAAAAACTTCTTCCACTCTTCCCACCCTCGTCCATGACCCCTCTGGGTGTGACCGACAGCATAGATATGTCGTCACATTCAATAGCGACAATGCAGACATCCGCTGTCAGAAGGTCCACTGCTGGTGCAGAGAGTACTGCTGTCTCACTCACCAACTGGAACTTTGATTTTCCCAAGCTCTCCAGCGTCTTCCTCAGCTGATCACGCTTCCAGGAAAGGCATTCAGTGAAGAACTTTGCCTCGAATGTAGGAAAGATGCCGTAGACGCCAGAGAGAACTCGACGAATGCATTCCTGGCTGAAATCAGCTCAGCAAAGAGCCACTGCTTGTGCTGAAAGGAATAACACTGCTGATTAGGCATTGAAGATATAAAGAACTTGCTCTCAAACTTAGTTTTTTTCAAAAGGCCCAATACATAAAACAAATATTTCAAATGATTCTGTCTACACAACACAGCAAGTTAACAATAAACAACAACATGTGTTTAAAATAAGCAAGATGCAAGAGCAATAGAGCCAGAGCCCATGCCAGCATGAAACTCAGCATAAGAGATGTCAATCTTCTGCAGGATTTCCAACTCAGCTGAAGTCAAACGAGACGTTGCGATCTTGAGGAAATCAAGGAGTGCAGTAGACCTGCTTTCCTCACTGCCACATAGTTGCTTGAACTCCTCAACTGAGTTGACAGATGTCTTCAGCTTCTTGCGCATGGGCTTGCATCTAGCTTCAAACTTGGCTTGCGCATTTCGTATTCGAGCAGCTTCTGGAGAAGAGGGGGGTTCACTGGAAGTACAAACATCCTCACTTCTGTCAACAGAGGGAGACTGATGCCCTGTCTTTAGTCCTGGTTTCAATCGCTTTGTCCTTCCACGACCCTTTCCGTGATTGGAACGGCCTCTGGACTTCCCTTTGCCCAAGACCTTGTTGCCAGTGGTTCCTCTGGCACTGGCTGGTGACTCCGGCTCACTGCTGGTTGCCACTTCGGATTCCATGGCTGTCGCCCCTAGAAAATTGATCAACTCTGAAGCAGCTAGTTATTTTTTTCACTAACAGTATGTTGTTTTTCATGACACCAAGAATAATAATAATCTAACTGCTAGGCTGCCATCCAATTGTAAAGGATGCGAACATGGCAATGGATGATTGTAGTTGACATTGACCACACACCTTGAGCCACCACAAAACTGTCACAAGGTTTATGTCATTCAGTGTCATAGCCTACAATGGTTCTTTGTTCGCATGTTTTTTTCGAACTTTTTGTTCAGTAAACCAGCTGGCTTCACCATGTTACATCAGTGCAGAATGGCAGGCATGATGAACTGATTTCCAGCAAATGATTTCACTATTAAACAAATATATGTCTCTATCTGGTAATATCTATTGTATGAGCCAAATACATCCCTGTTGGAATTTCCAGTACAAAAGTAGTGGACTTGGGTCCTATGTAAAACAAGTTTTTCAATGGTTTTTACAATCCCCCTTGGACCATGTGTCCTTGCATTTTGTAGTAACTCTTGGTCACATATGTTTCCAGATTCAAACATGGGCTGGCCATAGAAGTTTGTAGTGGTTGTGTGTGCGAGATAATAGTCGACCCAAAATGGATTTCTGAGTTCATGCAGATTTGACCTAAAAGTATTTTGTAGTGAATTTGTGGGGTTCCAAGATCAATGTTCTGAAAAAGAGCTGGGTTTGACCCTTGAAGATCTTTGTAGGGTTTCCTGGGGAATCTTTATGAGATGCCACATACATATACATGCATCAATGTCGGTGTAACTGGGCTCAATATGGACATCAGGATTTCCAAAGTGCCGCGATTAGCTAGGGTCACTACAACATGCAGCATGAAGAAAAACACGCATCGCAGATGATTCAGCGGATGTCAGTGGTGTATACCCAAAAAACACTACAAACTACTTTGTCATATTTTTGGACTGATCTTGAAGACTTCAGTGGGATCTACTTAAAAATCACTACAAACATCTACGTGGTTTTGTAAGGGTATCTTGAAGGGCTTCTTGGTAGATCCTTTGGTTTTTGTAGTAACCCTTTATCTAGGCTGGGGTTGCACTTTTGTAGTGATTTTGTTTTTGGCCTGGGCATGGAAAATATAGTGATTGGGGTTTGGCAGAGCTACTTTACAGCTACAAAATCTTGACCCAACAGTCCTCCCCAAATACTAACCCCGATCCAAATACATTCCAGATGTATAAGCCACCGCTTCCATTTCTTAAAATCAAAGCCCTTTCCAGTGCTCCCAACAAAGCAGGATCCCAATTTTTTCCTGCTGGCTGAATGTCACCCCTATCCAGCCATGTGGGTCGGCTTCAGGTGTAATGTTTCACCATCCTGCCAACTGTTTGGCCACCTTCCATGCCTCCTTCAATCCACCGTGTCGGTTCCAGTTGACTGTACTGCCCCCGCTTTTGTCGACTTTGATGTTGTCCATTTTGTAGATGGTCTTCTGTACATAGAAGGCCTGAACACAAAGGACATTGATGGGCATACGGTCTTCCCCAAGCTCAACCGGCGGGTAGGTAGTGAAGCTCCTGAGATGTGAGGTCTGAAGCATCACTGAGCCTGAAACCATGTTATCTATACAGCTGATGAAATGCTTTCCAGCAATCCAGGGAAGCAGTTCTAAAAATGTAGTGTGCACAACATGACAACATTGTGGATGCCACAGTAAAAATGATAAAATCACTGAACGGCATCCATTGATAGATACCAAGATTCACTTTGCAGAAATCCTCGGTCACCTTCAACTCAGGGATGTCTGTATCCCTCAAGATCTTGTATCCTTCAATGTACTTGTCCATCCTTTGCTTCGGGGTGGCTTGTTTCATCAGCCTGGTGAGCCATGGCACCAAGACATTTCTTCATGGATTCATGACATTCAACAATTCAAGCACCAGAAGACAATTGAAGCGCCAGAATCATCCAGCCTGTCCATGAATGCATCAGGAGGCCTCAGCAGTAATTTTACCCAAAATTCTGTTGACACACTGAAGTAGATGAACCAATCAAGTTGCTGTCCAGCAAGCCAAAGGCATATGTCCAAGGCTTGGTATCTCGCTTCTGTGCTCCTTCTTGGCCATGAACATGGTCCCTCCTCAGACAATGAAAGACTATTTCAGCAGCAGGACACTGCAACGTCAAAAACAACCAGGTTCCCTGAAGGTATATTGCCAGCGTTATGGGCAGTCTGAGTGAGCTGCGCAGCATCATCCATCAGGGCTTGCATGGCAACTGGAGGCCTCAGGAGACATGCGTTGCACATGCAAATACTCACTAACACACACACAAAGAGCAAGCTTCAAGATTTAAAAAAATAGAAATGCACAGTGCCACAAACACCTGGACATTTCAAGAAATGACAACCTCATTTTGCACAACCAAGCACAACTGCTCTGGTGTCATCAAACAAAATGTTATCTGAGCCAGAAGCAATGCTTCCATTGCTGCTTGCGGGGCATCCAGAGCAGCAGCATGCCTCACAAGCCATGGATTGCACGTTGGGAGGTGCTGATTAATACTGGAACCAAAGCAAATACTTCTTAAGCTTGAACTCACAAGAAGCTTAGTCCATTCCTCAAGAAACCAGATTTGATGTCATCAATGATAGCGGTATCCGAGTCAGATGCGAAGCTTCCATTGGCGCTTGCAGCGCAACCGCATTGGCAGCAAGCCTCAGGAACCATGGAGACACTTGGAGGAACTGATGAATACTGGAACCAAAGCAAATACTTCTTAAGCTTGAGCTCACAAGAAGCTTATAATCCATACTGCAAGAAACCAGATTTGATGTCATCAACAATAGTGGTATCTAAGTCAGATGCGAAGCTTCCATTGGTGCTTTCAGCGCATCCGCATTGGCAGCAAGCCTGAGGAACCATGGGGACACACTTGGAGGAACTGATTAATACTGGAACCAAAGCAAATACTCCTTAAGCTTGAGCTCACAAGAAGCTTATAATCCATACTGCAAGAAACCAGATTTGATGTCATCAACAATAGTGGTATCCGAGTCAGATGCGAAGCTTCCATTGGCGCTTGCGGCGCAACCGCATTGGCAGCAAGCCTTAGGAACCATGGACACACTTGGGGGAACTGATTAATACTGGAACCAAAGCAAATACTTCTTAAGCTTGAGCTCACAAGAAGCTTAGTCCATTCCTCAAGAAACCAGATTTGATGTCATCAATGATAGCGGTATCCGAGTCAGATGCGAAGCTTCCATTGGCGCTTGCGGCGCAACCGCATTGGCAGCAAGCCTTAGGAACCATGGACACACTTGGGGGAACTGATTAATACTGGAACCAAAGCAAATACTTCTTAAGCTTGAGCTCACAAGAAGCTTAGTCCATTCCTCAAGAAACCAGATTTGATGTCATCAATGATAGCGGTATCCGAGTCAGATGCGAAGCTTCCATTGGCGCTTGCGGCGCAACCGCATTGGCAGCAAGCCTCAGGAACCATGGAGACACTTGGAGGAACTGATGAATACTGGAACCAAAGCAAATACTTCTTAAGCTTGAGCTCACAAGAAGCTTATAATCCATACTGCAAGAAACCAGATTTGATGTCATCAACAATAGTGGTATCTAAGTCAGATGCGAAGCTTCCATTGGTGCTTTCGGCGCATCCGCATTGGCAGCAAGCCTCAGGAACCATGGGGACACACTTGGAGGAACTGATTAATACTGGAACCAAAGCAAATACTCAGATGAAAGGATAACATGAAAGATTTGTGATGCATGAAAGGAGAACATGAAACGGTCAAAAAAGTTTGCAGATGAAAATGCATTGTGCACAGTGCTGAGCACACATGGTCCAATTGCTCAAAACATAGTGTGAACTGAGTCAGGTGCACAGCTTCAGCCAAAGCTGCTGGAGCATCCACTGCAGCAGGCCTCAAAGACATACATTGCGTACTGGCCGATGTTGGTTGGTGCTTGAGCGCAACTAAACCAAAAACTGTTGTCAAAACAGCATATCTGATCAGAACATGTCACACATCATGCAATACATCGGCAATGCAAGAACTTAGTCAAGCCTGAAGTTCACTCCATTCATGATGAAAAATGGTCTGATGTCATCAAACACAGTGTTCTTCGAGTCGGGTGCGCAGCTTCAGCTTCCAGTGGCATGGTTGCGACATCTGCTGTGGCAAGGGACCTCAGAAGCCATGGCTTGCGCATGTCATACGGTTCCTTGACTTGCTAAAAACAGCTAACCACTGTGTTTTCTGAGTCAGGTACAATGTTTCCTGTTTGGCCTCTGCTGCAACTTCCATGGCAGTGGGCAGCCTTGAACGACATGGTCTGAAGATGGCTTCAGTCGATTGATTTTTGCACCTAAACAAAATCAGACTCACACAGTAAGTTTGAGATCACAAAATATGTGAAGCATGAAAGATAAACATGTAAACAGCTCCTTACATGATTAGCATATAGACATTTACTCCATGGTGTGGAGCACAACTGGTGTGATCAGTGATTAGTCAAAATATAGTGTGAACTGAGTCAGTTGCGAATCTTCCACTGATGCATCTGCAACATCCACAGCAGTAGGCCTCAAAGCTACACATTGTGTATGTGCTGGCCGAAGCTGGTTGAAGCTTGACTATACGGTTTCTTGACTTGCTAAAAACAGCTAACCATTGTGTTTTCTGAGTCAGGTACACCGTTTCCTGTTTGGCCTCTGCTGCAACTTCCATGGCCGTGGGCAGCCTTGAACGACATGGTCTGAAGATGGCTTCAGTCGATTGATTTTTGCACCAAATCAAAATCAGACTCACACAGTAAGTTTGAGATCACAAAATATGTGATGCATGAAAGATAAACATGTAAACAGCTCCTTACATGATTAGCATATAGACATTTACTCCATGGTGTAGAGCACAACTGGTGTGATCAGTGATTAGTCAAAATATAGTGTGAACTGAGTCAGTTGCGAAGCTTCCACTGATGCATCTGCAACCTCCACAGCA